ATTGGAGCATTGGGAATGAACAGTGCATGCACGGCTAGCGCTGCATTCCTCCAATGAAATGGTTTTAAAGGGATGCTATAAGTGCCAGGAACTATAGCTTCCTCTGCCTCCCCCATCCCTTTACTTACCTTATCCCAGCGCCAACATTTCTCGGCACTGGGTCAAAGCTCCGCCCCCTCCTAATGCCGTGCGCACTAGTCCTCCCTATAGGAAAGCTTTGAATCAATGCTTTTCTATGGGGAAAAAACGCTGGATGACCTCATGCACCTCATGCAGAGCATGAGGACATCCAGTGACAGATACCAGACCAAAAGTCAGTTTCAAACCAGGAAGCCCTCTAGTGGCTGTCTGGTAGACACAGACTTAGAGCTGCAAAGTAAACATTGCAGTTTCTCTGGAACTGCAATGTTTAACATTACAGCACTAAGTGCAAAAGGGACGCTGCACCCAGACCACTTTGAAGAGCTAAAGTGGTCTGGGTGCCTACAGTGTGCCTTCAAACGGTGATGCTCAGTTCAGGAAGGACATTTGACCCAGCAATTAAGGATTTACTTAATCGATCAACTAAACAGCAATGTTTTACACTGCAATTTAAAACTAAAATAGGATACCTTTAGTGGCCCTTTAAACCTCTCCAGGTCTCTACTATACAGACTTTTGGACTGTAACAACTACAGTGCGCTATAGCATTCATGGTAGTTAGAAAATCACTTAAAAACACATTTTCTTATGCTTGTTGATTTCAGCTAAACCTTTATGGTGTTTTATCTTTGTATTAAAAAGCAGCAGCAAGACTGTTAGGATTAAGGCTGTCATTGGAAAATCAAATCCACATACCTGTATACATATATACACAAACCTAGTGCACATAAAGGATTGGCTGATCAGACTGCGATTGCATTTTAGGTTTCTAAGAGATGAGCTGATGAGCACCAAATACCTGCCCTTTACTGAGTTCCTGTGTTTTTTTCACATCAACTATGAGATCTTTGTTATTGTTATGAGTAATTGTAAGTGAATGTGCATTGCTTGCCTCAACAAGTGGTATTGTCGGTACAGAATAACAGGTCATTTTCACTTCTGTACAGGTACATGCCGCTCAGTAGGGCTTGATATTTATAGATTTCCTGTAATAAATTACTTTATACAGCAAGGAAGGGATTGGGAACAGGGTACAAAGCAAGCAGTAGGTGACAAGAAAGACACAATTCTAAGTCATTCTCACAGACTAGACATAATATGTGAGATGCTCAATACTACAATACTTGCTTGCTCCAGGTGTGCGGACATACTTTGCTAATGGTATTTTTAAAAGCCATGTTAGTTCTCAAAAACATAGCTTACAGCTACATCAATGCATCAGACATAAGGAAGGATTCTGCCACCCACCCTCACACAGGAAGCTTTGGGGTCACAGAGATGAAATATTCTCTGCCAATGCTTGCGCATAGCTAAGAAAATTAGATAAGAGTGTCGTAAAGGTATAAAAAGGTGTTTTTCAGTGCTCTGCTCTGACTACCCACACCGGAAGCCCCGGTGACAACCTCACAGGCAGATTATATCTTTCTTATCCAAATTAAACATTTGAAAGATGGGACTTATCAACCCAGCTCTCTCAAGGATTGTGCACCTATTACTAGAGAAGAAGTGATAGAAAATAAGAATATAGAACATGTATAACCTGCACAGTAGGAAAAGCTGTTGGGAGCATACTTAAGTTCATAAAGAGAGATCAATGAGATTTTATAAGAACAAATTTATGTTGACAATAATTTTAAAAATAAATGTATCTGATTATTGATTCATGGTGAAGTTAAGATGTCAAGTGGTGCACAATTTGTGTCATTGGTGTATTTCCTGGAGCTAAAGGTGTGTGAATTCAGTGGACATGCACATGCAGTGCAGCCTCAGGACTAGCCATATTTAAAGATCTGTTAAATGGGTTGGATTTTGGTAAATCATTTTACTAAGTCTGGTTACTAACACAATCTCTCTGTACTTTATGTACTCTTACCACTGATTTCTTAGGAATTCAAACAGTTCCCACCATTTTCTTACATGCCAAGACTGATGCTGACAGTCATCTACTTAGGTGTGTGAGATCAACTAGGAAGGATGGCGCTAACTTCCTAGGTCTTCTACAGACCTCAGTTTTGTAAATGCTGTAACTGCTGGCAGATAAAGCTGAAGGGGAAGATGTTGGCATTGAGAAGAAAGAGGTTCTGGTAAAACAACATTCTTACTCTCCAAGTGACAGTGTGCAAGCAGACATGTAACCTTAGGGGTCTTCACATATTCCAAGTAACAGTGATGCTTTAATAGTAAGTTCTGACACCGGTAATGCTACACCACCAGTGTAAGGGTGTCATGACCACTAATGTGATCCAATACGCAAAACTATGTAACATCTACATAGAACAGAAAACAGACAGAATGTAAACCGGTCCTTAGAATGAGCGGATTAATACGTTGAAAGATAGAGAATAGTCAAGAAGAGGTCTAGGGAGGTCTAGGGAGCCAGAAATACACAATATCGATAAGTCAGGGAAACCAGAGATAAGAGTAGTCAGGAAAAGCCAAAGTCAAATACCAGGAATATCAAATACAAGGACAAGAAAACGCACTCTCGTATACTAGGAACGGAAACCACGACAGGGCAATGAGCTAGAGAATCCAGGGGGTTTAAATACCCCTCCTTGGGCTGTGATTGGTCAGAGCTTGGTCTCTGATCCCAGAAATTCCGTGTGCGTTGACCTCGTGGTCATTTTGGATCGTGTGGAGGAGATGGATGCCCCAGCGGGTCGGCTCCCGGCTCGCTGCTGAACAGGTAATTCCTCCAACCTATCGGTGCGACCACTTGTAGCCGCGAGCCGTAACAGAGGGAAAGTAATGAAAGGTTGGTGATTCTATAGAAACATTGGGAAGAGGAGTGAGGGTCAGACCAAGACATGGTATTGCCTGGGCACACAATGCACCTCCCACTTCCGTTATGACTTAAAAAGGAAATCTCCAAATCTTATTCCCACTATCTACCACATCGATCCATATACCCTCAATCAGGCCCCTCCAATTCATACCTGCCAAACATACTCACCCAACTGAAACAGCATCCCTATTTCTCCATTTATCTCCACACATCTCTCCCAATACAGTTCTCCATGTGCCCCAGTTTATCTCCTCATGTGCCCTAACAAATATCCACACGTACTTCAGTACACTTCTCAATTTGCCGCAACACATATCTCCAAGTGCATGTCCCCACATCCCCAAGTAGATTTCCACTCATTTCCCTGGTCCTCTCCCCACTCACACACTCTCACGCATAACCACTGGCATCCCTTCAGGGCAGGCTCAGATTGAATAGGTAATTGAGAGGTATGCACTGGCTTAAGGACTGGACATAGGGAGGAGATGTGATGGGGAAAATAAGTCTGGGTGTGAATTTCTGTCTGAATATACCATAGGCAGCTCACAAAATCGAGATGGGATGTAAGTTTCAATAAATGGAAGTAACAAACACAAAGAGGTTTAAAAAAAAAATACAAGATTAGGCTGAAATACTGCAATATAAACTAAGCAGTGAAGTACTTGTGCATTCTATGCAGGTCATTCAAAGTTGTATCAATAATACTAGCCATGCATAAAGTTGCCGTGTCCTTGTACAATCAGTCTATCCACTGCATAGCGCAGCATACATTATCAGCTTATGTAAACATCCCTTAATGGTGATATTATTGAGAATTTCATTATCCTGCGGTCTCTAAATCTTAATAGAGATCTAAATGAGGAGAGTTTAGCAATGCGTGCAGTCGATATGTTACCCCTATAATAAACATTTTTGGTCTTATTTTAACACTGGCAACTCCACATTTTACTGCTATACTGCTAAATATTAAGGGTAGCCAACAAAACAAGATTCTTAGGAAAGCAATAGAACAGGCAATGCTTTATTTACAAAAAGAAGGCTGAATCCATTTGTCTTAGCTCATAAAATCTTGTAAAAATAGAAAAATCAGAAGTCGCCTTTGATGGTAACTAAGCAACTATCGTTAAAAGCTGCTGAGAAAAACATGCAAGAGAAAAAAAAAAAACACACACAACAACCTCAGAGCAGGATGTACATTGAAGGAAACAGACTTCCTGGATACTATCAGCTTTGCTGCTGCAGTGCTGTCAGAACACAACCTTGTAAACTGCTGTCTCATACTACAGCAGGGTCACTGACTGCCCTACTTTCCTTTCTCTATCAAAACAAAGGCCCTTCCTACAGACGCCATCTATCAAGCTTGTGTGATGTGCATCAGCTATACAAACACGCAACCCATTTAGTACCACAATCCTCTGTAGAAAACAAAACAAAAACAAAAAACTGGGAAAAAAAATCCTCGTTAATCAGTGGGAGGCGATTTTATGTTCAGTCAGACATGATTGAGATTTCTTTTTCTCAGATATTGACAGCCGGAGAAGAATATGGTAATTTTAAGCTATTACAACGAACGCTTTGTAACACCTTCCTACTGAACCATGAATGCTAAAAAAAAAAAAAAAGATCCTCTTTTAGAAAGCTAGCAAATGAAATTAAGTCAGCAATTAAGTCGTAACTCTCCTGCAGACCATAGTTTTGTGAATCACCTGCAGTGTATCAGTATGCAATCATTATCTCATACTACAAAAGAAAAAAAAATTGTAAGCATTAACCAAGATAATGCATTCTTGATTTACAGAGTACTCACACTTAGATCGGTGTTACTGTTTACATCCAATGCCAGAGGTCCTCAGTCCTGAAGCCAAATAGGTGGTCAAAAAATAAAAATAAAACAATATACATAGAAAATTTTGGCCATCCCAGACACATTCTTAAACTGTTACTACTTAAAATAAAATCCAGCTTTATTAAAGGACCACTCTAGGCACCCAGACAACTTCAGCTTAATGAAGTGGTCTGGGTGCCTGGTCCAGCTAGGGTTAACCCATTTTTTAATAAACATAGTAGTTTCAAACTGCTATGTTTATTAATGGGTTAAGCCTTCCCCCTAATCCTCTAGTGGCTGTCTCATTGACAGCCACTAGAGGCGCTTGCGTGCTTCTCACTGTGATTTTCACAGTGAGAGCACGCCAGCGTCCATAGGAAAGCTCTTGCCGCGCGTGCGCATTCAGCCGACGGGGCGGAACGGAGGAGGATCGGAGGAGGAGAGCTCTCCGCCCAGCGCTGGAAAAAGGTAAGTTTAACCCCTTTTCCCCTTTCCAGAGCCGAGCGGGAGGGGGTCCCTGAGGGTGCTTTCCTTGCACTATAGTGGTCCTTTAATTAATTGTTAAAATATCAGTCACAAACAGTATAATAAATGCACCAACCATGTAGCCATGTTTTGAGGATGTAAAATAATTGACTCTTATATACAAAAAAAAAAAAATGACAAGTCTTACAAGGATGATGGCTCACTTAAAGAAGTCTTTTTTACTTAAGCCATGTGCTTTTATTTGTACGCTCCCTGAATTCTTCACTCAGATAGAGGCTAGGGGAAAGCCTATTAGATAGTGTGGGAGCCTTATGGGTTATAAACCTGATATTCTTACAAATAAGGGTGGATAAGGTGATGGACTTCACAATAAATGAAAAACTGATTCTACACATTTATAGACGTTGTGATCTTATACAGCTGTGGGACTGGACATAACCTCCCCCAATATAGTATCAAAGAGCAAGCAATAAAACGCGGCTTCCAAGATATGGAAAGCCGAATCGCTATAACCGGCGTTCTATGTTCAAAATGTGCTAAAGCGTAGATATAAAGTGTATATTTATAAAATGGGTAAATGCCTCTACAATAGCGCAGCATTTTTACATTTTATAACATGACAGGAGGCTTCGTATTTGCGCAAGTCTCTCTTTACTAGAATTCCAAAGCAGCACAGAAAAACAACCAATCAGAAAAAAGTTAGGTACTATAAAACTCCCCTCCTCATGCATCATTTCCTTTCTTTGCTGCTCCGCAGTCAGTACAGGTCAGAGTACCACTGCCTCTTGCTTCTAGTGGGTGGCTTTGGGATTTAGTATGACTTATTTAGGATTTATTATTTATATATTATATTTATTATATGTATTTCATGTTTCTGGTATTTAGTTCTATGTTTTGTAGTTTGCTTCAGATTATTTATTTATCTATTACTTATATATTATATATATGTTGTATTTAGTTATATTTATATTATTTGATATCATTTTTATATTTCTCATATATTTTATGTTTATGGTATTTAGTTATCCATTATATTTCACTTCATATTATTTATTTATTAGTTATATATTGTATTTTGTTTTATATTTATTCATTTCGGGATTACTACCCGTTTTTTTTACTCCTGCTTCCCCCTGTTCTTGGGGATGTTTTTTCTTTCATGTGGTGGTTTTAGGGGGTTCCTAGAGTTTCCTGTCAGTTTGTTCCCCCCTGCCCCCCACCCCCACCCCACAGCGCCATTCTATTAGCCTGGTTACGGGCGCTCCGCTCGGGGTGTCAGGAGACTAGCCGCTTGGCTGCCTCCTCGGACTCCCCGAGCTCCGGTGTGAGCATGCCGGCTCCCCGCAGTCTCCGGCGGCCGAACCCGCTCGTGCACGTGGCCACCTCGCGGCTGGCTCCCTCAGAGCCACGTGGATCCGACCGGCTAGAGGAGGGTGCGCCTGCTCGCGGGCTCTCCTCTGCCCATGGTGGTCGGACATTGAGGGTTTTTTTCATGCTGAGCCAGTTTGCCAGGTCTATCGCAATTGGTTTCATATTTAGGTTAATAGATCCACCATGACTATATTCAAGTGGGAAAAATGTTCTATATGTTCTATTAAGGCACACTTTGTGTACTTCTTATACCAGTTGGATAGACTGAAACATAGGATGTGTGAAAGTTTTATTTTAGGTTGCACACTTAATCAGGGGTTTCTTATGTCCCAATCCCTGGGCTTCAGCATATATGTCCTGGTTCATCTCTGTAGCAGAGATGAGACTATTCAAGTATGATATTCACGGTCATTTGCAAATATAATAAGCTAAGCAAAACCTGGCTCTGGCTCAAACTGGTATGGGAGACCAGTCTCTGCTGACATTAATTCAATTTTATCAGGTTTCTGTGACTAAGGGAGTTGGAAGGTGGTCCCTTTCAAACCCAATAAGGGGGTGCATCGAGTTGGCAATTGTTTACCCTACTACTGTAATATACAATGGGTACAATACCCTTCAGGTGGTATGCTGAGGATGCATAATGTTGATGAAGAATATCAAACAGGTCCGTCTGTTCATATGCATAAACAGTTTCGCAGTTAAAAATAAATAAATAAAATCGCTCAATATATCGTGATTTAATGGACACTATAATCACTGCCTATATCCACTACAGCTGGAATATCACTATTTTGCCTGCTGGGCATTTAGGGACTGCTAGTCCCAGTTAAGGCTTATTCGCACAGATTACACTGTCTAAGAGGGTTAGCGTCTGGGGGTCCTAGGTCACAGGGTACCCTGAAGATTTACAGATATTTAGGGGTCTCTGCCCTTATTACTCATTTAGTCACAACCAGGATTGACCTGCTATGACTGTGCCCCATTGATTGGCCTGCTATGACTGTACCCCACTGATTGGCCTGCTATGTCTGTGCCCCATTGATTGGCCTGCTGTGACGGTGCCCCATTGATTGGCCTGCTATGACTGTGCCCCATTGATTGGCCTGCTATGTCTGTGCCCTTCTGGCTGGCTTACTCTATCTGTGCCCAACTTTGGCCTGATCTATCTATGCCCAGCCCCTTTTGGCCGCAGGCCTGGGGGAATATCACATATCACGGAGGAGAGCTTAGTACCCATTATTGACATGGAGATGGGTGGATGTCCAAGCAAACACTACTGCCATGCTATCCAAGAGTACACCAGTTTACGGGCACCTGAGTATGATTGGAAGGGTGGAGGCCCTAATCCTCAAGGTTTTTACGAAGATCCCGGGCACACAGCCACGGTTTACACCAAATACTCTCAGAGGTATTACAGGGGGAGATTTCCCACATATTTACACACACTCCTAGAGACGGTACAGCTAACGGATGAGCCTTGGGTATTAAGAGTGCAGGTTTTCATATATTCTGCGCTATATATATAACAGACAATTGCATTCTGTTTAAGATATCCGGACCACTGCGAGCAAACTGCGCAGACAGTTTTTCCCATGTCATGGTGACATGAGATCCTGAGGCCTTCATGGAGCAAACGGGCACTGCGTGCTCGGGTAACAAGACTAGGGAAGGCCACTACCTGGTCTGCAGGTACACCGTACGCATGGATCGCATGGAAAGACCGGAACCCCAGTTGACGGGAGTTCCCTGATCATTACAATTTTGGGATAAAAGGCAGGACTGCCCCTACTCCTCTGAGCACATATTTGGAGAACATGGTTCGGAGATGGAGGGCCCTCCGTCTATACTCTATATCCCTCACAGGAACCGTCTTGGTTTGGGTTATCGATAACCCACCTTTTGAACTACCATCAACGAGACCTATGGTGGACTCTATGGAGGAACTCACGGACGTCAAAGTCGGGACGCAACCTACCGCTGGAATACTGTTGAGGATGTGACTCAGGGCGACCGACATTCTCAAGCAGGACAACACTTGCTCCGGACGGTTGAAACTAGAGCATTGTTTTTCGTTATATCTGCTCTCTGGAGCCACCTGTCGTGAGTGAAGGGACTTTACGTCTTGCCTGAGTATTAGAGAACGCTATGTGTTCTCGGGACTCCAAGCTATGAAGAGAGGTATCCCTCTATAGGGAGGTTGGGACTTCAGTTCTCGCATTCACATTACTGGGTTCTTTGACCTAGGGCCTACCCTGGAAGATACAGTCCCGGACAGTCAGGGGTACAGGGACCTAGGGGTCCCACTATATTAGATCTTATCTTGTCGGTGGAGTGTAGACCAGGAACCCCTACACAAATTTTGGCAAGTCGGGCATGGAACAAGATCGTACAGTGGGTAATCAGGTTATTTCACTCTCTCACTACAACATGTGAGGACTCTTCCTTGTTATACAGGTCCCAATCACCATTGGATCCGGACATCTAATCACTCTTAGACGATGACATATCTAGATGGAAATCTCAACTCCGGTTTACGTTTCCATCCTTTTGAATATTTCCGGGATTCACAATCCCCAGAATAGTCGTCACCGTTCCACCACACAAGTTCAGTTTGGGACCTTGATTGGACGTCCTTTAGGAGTCCTTTCTCTACCGCAGCTGCGGATTGCACAGTCCATTTGGAATATTGGAATCACTTAGGATACAGCTAGTTCGACCACACTCTTGCCTGCATAATAAATGTATTCTCGGATGAGACATCTCACCGGGTAAGTCATGAGAGAACGAAAGGTCCTACTCGGTTCTATTACGGAATTGGTGGTGGACTTAGACGCATTCCTTGTGGTTGGAGATTTGCCTGCAAGGCCACGTCGCCTGGTGACCCTGGCACGATCGGAGGAGCCACCTTCCACATCAAGAGTTGAGACAGGTTGGCAGTTTCTTCTCACGGCCCTTAATCCGCAAATGACCTTCAACATTTTACAACTACAGGGAAATGGCTAATAGGTCAGCTTGGCAGCTCATGGACCAGCTGCTAGGAAACAGGTCGCAATCCCACGTACAATGGAGCTATCAGCGGATAGTGTTTTTCCGTATTTGGGATGCTTCGTCAGCTGGCATCCTCATCGACCCGTCTACTGGCAATTCTCGCAGTTGGAAAGTCCATTTAGGATTGCTCTGATTTCTCCTGGAATAGGTACCAGCGAAACAAACAGCATTGGATTTGTTGACTGAGCGTTAAAACAGCAAATACAAAGCCTCCTGTCATGTTGTAAAATTGTAGATTATGCTAGCTTTCGTGTACCTATAATCTTAATTTTATTAATGACAGGAGGTGAGTATTTCCCACCCGTTCTTATCCCTCCCTTGTTTAATTTTAATAGTTTGGATTAATCAGGTACGTATGCAACTCTGATTGTTGTCTCTGCTACCCGTCACCTGTTCTTATATCTGTTTTTCATAAGTAGGGTTGGGATATCTTCATATTAAGTGAATTTTGGTTTGCTACATTGGGTACCTACATGTTTATTCAGAGTACATTTCACTGGATAATCAACCTGTTCGATTCTGTTTTTCTCTCGTTTCAGTTTACAGTCCATCAACG